CGACACGCCCCTTCATGCGCCAGCGAAAGTGACTGTACATCACCACTTCTCAACTATGCCCTCCAACCGTACATACGACTTGACCCATCCGTGGAGAAAAAGGGACGGGAAACGTCGAAAACGCCCCTAATAAGGCCGTACCAATGGAAAAGAATCGATGTGGATATCGGAAGATATTAGCGGGAGAGCATGAAAGCAAGCAAGAAGGCAGATAAGACACCTATCAACGGAAGCTTAGTCACTGAGGCAACCTTGTGCCTTAACGCCGCTACCTTACCGCTTTCTGACGTGAAAGCCATACAGTACTTTCGCTGTGGTCCACATGATCGTGGGCTCTGCCTGTAACATGAAAATGGCTATTTCTCGTACTTCGGGGATAGCGGGAAAGGCACGAAATGGTTGCAGACTAGATTGCGGCAAGATCCTGATTAGGAACAGGAAATGCGACAGGTTTGGCGATATGACGGCTGAATCTTCTCTTCCCTGCTGACCGTGACTTGCAGAAATGAACATCAGTTCCTAATGGTAGCCTTGAGGAACAGAGTTGCAAAGAGGGTTGCAAAACGAATGTGGGATAAATCACTAGTTCCTCCCACACGTTCTCAGAAACGCCTACATCAGAGCCTGTTTGAATGGGGCACGCTCTACGGTATCGTCTCGAACCAGGTGAAGAAGAGGTTGAAACCATTGTGACCAACAGATTGACCTCGATTGCATGAAAGAACAGTCAAAGGCATTGCATTAGGTCAAGGGCTGAACGGATCAGAGCGAAAGAAATCGCATCAAACGACCCGCGGAATGGCTAAAGGTGACCGCAGCGAAGTATCAACGACTTTCATTTTTTCACAGTACTCTTAATTTGAATTTCTTGAAGGCATGGGGCACGGCAATTGGTACTCGGTCTAAAATGCTAGTAGGATGCTATATGGTGGAAAAATTGCAAAAAAAATGAAATAAAACGGTCATAAACCTGCGAAGGAAAGCCTTCGTTTTCCATACCTTAGAAAGCAGTTTCGTACGAGTTTGCCTTAAGAATTGTGCCAATAACGGTTACGGGACACTTGCCAACCAGACGTGTTCGTGCGAGGGTCCAGGGATAATTTCTTGAGGCATTACCAGTCCAGTAGTTGAGGGAGAAGGTAGAGGAGGAGGGATCAGAGAAGGGAGGAAGGAAAAGATGAAAGGAGGAAGAAAAAAGGAAAAGAAGAGAGGCTCTTCGGTTGACAGGTGCCCTGAGACGTGCCAGTAACCGTTACGGTAAATAGGCTAATGCCGTTTGGACTCCAAGAATTTCGGCACCCAGCCCATTTGTACAGGGGGGGCAAAAAAAAGTCATTTTGCCTCCATGACTTTCAAGGCGCTATAAGTTACACTTTATTAAATTTTTATCGGACATTTTTACTACCATATTAAAGAGCACATTAAATACTATAATGATACTCCGCCACAGCCTTCTGGAGGAGCGCCATCGAGAGATTCGGTCCTGCTGCGAAAGTAATGTGGGTACGGAGTTGAGCGAGATCGTTGATTTCTCCGCCACTGTAGACCACCCTGTTGAGCTCCGCCCGAACTAGGTAATTGAGTGGGTTCAGGTCAGGGGACATACTTCAATATTACATCTTCTTCAGGTACGAAACGCCCTTCCATTCGAAGTAGGCGGGAGTTTTTCCAAAACCCTTCGATTCCATGTGGTGGCACCCAAACCTGTAGCAGCACAAGGTCTCCAAGAAGGTACGGGCGACCACATGTAGGGAGGATATTCTTCTCGAGTTACTTGATGTAACCGCCAGCGCTCACCTTCAGTCGGGGTCTACAAAGAAAATATCGGTCTTCCCATTCCAGGTACGGCCGGTCCACACCATCAACCCGCGCCTTGGTGAATGGGGTGAAGATGATGTCCTGGACCGTAGCGACGTTGCCGGAGCTGCTCGATGTTTGAGGTCTTGCAGATCAAGAGTACTGGTCTCCAGGTAGCTATCCATGGGTGATTCCATTCAAGAAGTTCCGCAGCTGTTTGGAGGCCACGTGAATTCCAAAGGTGTTCTCCAGTCAGGCCGCGACTGGAGATGACTTCATATTTTGGCGTACATGAAGGTGATTGGCGGCAGCGTGCTCCAGCTTATAGAGGAAGATCTTGGGTATCTTCCGCCCTGGTACTCATATCCACTTCCCCTGTCTGGGCTGCGAAAACTTCGTTGATATGTGGCTCGGCCGAAATGACTTTTTTTGGCCCCTGTACATTGCCTAAGTCATAAAATCCGCCAAAAAACTTTGTATATAGCGAGTCGTTTTAATATCCTAATTAAAATATGCATTTACTTTGTCGCTGGCGTCAAGACAGGGAACATAGGATACCTCCTAGGCTCAGCCTTGGCAGAGCGCAGATAATCTTAGTGTCATCCATTAGCGTAGCGACAAGAGCGAATGACATATTCTTAATCGGAATGTTAAACCTACACCCCTACTATACAAATTTTTACAGCAGATGTTGACTAGGACGTTGAAGATTAAAATGAGCATTCGGTAGCCGAAAATTCTGGCGGTCCTGAAACCGGCATTAGCCCGTGAAATACGTGCTGCATGTACAGTCCTCATCACTGCGGACGGTTGGGCGTGTCAGTGCGGCTGCGTTTGGCGCGGTGCCAAACTCGTTCTCCACCAGTTGTTGAAGGGGGCAAGTGACAATACTGTATCATATCCTTCGTATTACTCGTTTTCTACCACGTTTTGTCGCATGCGTGCTTCAGCAAGAAGGTAGAGAACTGCTTTGATGTGGTGGCACACTCATACCGGACACGCCCAACCGTCCGCAGCGAAGAAGACTGTATATGCTTATCTGTTGTTTACCATGCCAACTGCTTTTTAATTTCCAGGCGTTGTCGCTTTGGGTCACGTGTCCGGTTTCACTCGGTATTTCACACTTTTTGCAACTTTTATTGCCTAGAAACTACTGTCACAATTGATATTCCTACCTACCTTTTCATTTCAAGATCAGAGCATGACCACTTATCAGCCTGAACTTATTATAAGGAGAGGTAGCATATACTGCAACGAAAAAATCTGCATGAGTTTCGAGTCGCAAACGTTAAGGTAGCCGTCATGTCGCCGTCCGGCTCGGTTGTTAAGGTAACGACGATGGAGCTCAGCTGGATTCCCCACAGTAATAGATGTCGTGTCTGCTGCCTTGCTCGTACGCATGCTCTTTCCCGCTGCTTTACCTGATCTCTCACCCGCAATTCACATCGATTCGCTGATGCGTTCTGAAAGGAATTCGAGTACATGACCCATTCCCCGTTGATCAGTGCCTCAGTTCTGCAGTTCCTATTCACTACATGAAGGAGGTGTGCGGGAGACCTGCCGAGCTTCCAAGATGGAATCGTGGGTCTTGTAGGAGGGGAGGGGTCCACATGCTGCAGCTAAAGTTGACTTTTAAATGGAAATCTGCGAGGCGCGATTTTTTGCTGTACCACCAAGCTACAGCAAAGATGTTGTGCTCATTCAAAACAGAAAACTTCTAGTTCGCCGTATACATGTTCTCCCCTATGTCTGAGCAAAGTTACTTCCATTGAAAGTTGAAGAACCCGCCTTTGCCCATGATTTTTCGCTTGCTTTCTCGCCTCCGTGGGTTGATGAAATAACTGTAATATTGTTCAGAGCTGCCATACAACTTGAATCCGCTCTGGCGAAAGATGGTTTCTTGACCGAAGTAAAGTTAGAGTACTGTACGGTGTCGCGTCCCTGTGGACGGAGATGACCTGCGCCTGCATATAGGCAATATGCCATCACAGCCAAGCGGGACCGGAGCCTACATCCGCCAAGTGTCCGCGACCCATAGGTAGCACAGGGGTCGATCCCGTGAGATAACGTTCTTAGGAGTTTTGGTTTTCTTTTCTTTTCATGACCATAGACGATGATTCGCAGAGAAGAATTAAAATAACGTCATATATTTCTATTAGTTGCTCTGCTGATTATTACTCTTTTTCCAACATGCGAGGCGCAGGGGTGTAGTGACAAGTGGCGCGCTTACCACTCGCGCGGTCCTGGGTTCGAATCCCAGGTCGACACCCGCCCAGGCCAACCAAGCCTTCTACCCTCCGGGGACGGTAAATTGGTACCAGATTCGTCTGGGAGGATAAAACACTGACTTGTACATCGGCTGGCCACCGCAAGTCATTGTATAGGCCACATCGCATTCAATAAGCCACTACGATTCTGAATGGAAGTAGAATGCGTGCCGCATCCCACAAAGGGATTGATTAACGGCGAAGACTTTATCCTTTATCCTTTTTTATCCTTCTAACATGTAAATTAGTTTTCCTACTAGGAAGCGTGATTAACTCACTCAGAAACACATCAGTAAGAGTTTTGCAGTGGTGCCACACAAATTCTCAATTGAGGTTCTTGGGTCTCTTCCATTTTTCCGCTCCCTTTCCTTCGTTCGAGTCCGGAGAGGGTTTCCGCAGGCTACCTGGGGAGTCGCCCGCGGGAACCGCAATGGTCATGTGTTTCCGTAAGCGAGCCAGAGGTAGTCGGCCGCACCTGATACATTGTTATAGGCGCACTCAGCCCTACCAGGAACTTTCCCCATCGTCCAAATTCGGTGCCGATTTCGCAGCGGACCGCATCATACCTGAGCGGTCTTGCGCGACCAGGACATTGTCCGTGATCGCGCAAGACCCTTCAGACGATACACGATGTGCGGCCTCCACCTCTCGAGTGTCGTGCGCAGCCCCCTCGCGTCGCGACATGGAGCTCGTATCCCTCCCCTCCCCCCTATTTCCCGCGACGTGATACTTGCTCTGTTATGAACGCCCAGAGCATTTTCTACCGTTCTCGCCTCTTCCGCTCTTCTGGGTCCAATATCATCCAAAATTCATGTTTAAACTCAATTCCCTCAACAGTCGCAGGAAGTTTACGACAATAAAAGGGTTCTGTTCAGTACATGTTCTCGGGAATTTGTCAACAAAATTTATTGAAATTTTCCAACAACAAAAATGTTTTTATCTTTTACACACAAAAGCCCTCATTTTCCGGTTGCAGTCGACATCATTCCACGTTCTCGGCACCATGTAGATCGTGTAATCTCTGTTTTCCAGTGTATTGAAAAGCTTAAAAATTCCCTATGTTGTATTGCTAGAGTATACAACCGATTATGACATCTAAGTCATGCCATTTCGACAAAAGAAAACTGACATGAGCAAGGCACTAAACAGTTAGAAATCTGAGAAATTATGTGATCTGTGAAAAAACGTTGGTAAGTTGGAATGGCCATTCGTAATGGAAGGTTAAAGGCAGTTGGCACGATGGTTTCCTACTTACCAGGAAAGGTCAACAGGTCAGCCTGGCCATTTGCAATGAGATGCACATCAC